AAAAATAATAATAATAATAATAATAATAATATAATAATAATAATAATAATAATAAATGAAACCAAGTTTGGATTGTGAAAAAAGCTCATTTGTTTTGCCATTTCTGTTCTTCCTTTTAGGCGTCTCACATAAATAGCAAAAAAACTCCCAACCAAAAGAACAAGAAGACGAAAAGCAGCAGCAAATCAGGCAATAACAAGAAAAAACAAAACTTAGTTTTCAGAGTTTCGCCCTTTCCTTTTCAAGCAGAGCTCAGCTGAGGCTGCTGAACTCTGTTTTCCGGTTCGAGTATGTTGAGGTCGGAGAGAATTAGGAATTCGAATGGTTTGAAATCGGCGTTTGTAGATTCCAACAACACCGGTAACAGCGGCAGCAGCGGCGGCGATGACGAATCTGAAGCCTTCTTCTCGGCACTTATGGATCTGAATCTACCGGACGACCGGCCTCTATCATACCAGACCGCTGTTAGTGGCGGCGGCGGCTCTATCGTCGGCTCTTATTCAGTCGATGCTAATTCCACTTTTCTTACTACCTCAGCTCTTGTTAGGCAAACCAGCTCCCCTGCTCGTACGTAATTCCTTTTATTATTATTATTATTATTATTATTATTATTATTATTATTATTATTATTATTATTATTATTATTATTATTATTATTATTATGTTTTTGGCTGCAAAAATATTTTTCCTCAGGTGGAAAGAGTTGACTATGAACAAATTTTGGATCCGGATTATGAGGGGATAGGGACTTTTTTTTTTTCCATAAAGAAATGTACATGTGTGATTTTTTTTTCTTTTTTTTATTTAATAAAAAGGGTATCTAAGAAATGAAATAATTTCATGGTTTTATGGGATCTTAATAATGTATTCATATCGAGATTCTACGGACCCGTTACGAAACCATTTCATCGGGCTTTGTAACCGTTAGATTATATGTAACTGTCTTGAGTAGTTGATCTAACCGTTACAAATCCCGACGGAATGGTTCCATAACGGGACTGTTCCCGCTGAATCTTATTATGCTAGCTCTGTTCGGTTCTTTGAGCATAATGTGGGACATAATATCCCATTAGCATCTTTTGAGTGTTGTTGGAAACAGAACAAAAGCTATCAGTTGAGTTGAGTATTTCATGCTTAAATCCTCTGATATTCTAGATTTGTGAACAATAGTAATTGGTCCTCAGGATTTAGTGTAATGGGAGAAGGAGGAAACTACAAAGATGGCATGAGCACCCACTTGAACTTCTCCTCTCCAAGCATGCATGCAAACCAAAACATGGGAATCCATAATCTCGAAAATGGGCACTTTAATGGTAATAATTCAAACGGGCGAGAATTTGGTGGTGCTTTCCCACATGACTCGTGGAATGATTCCTCTCTCGGCAACAGCTTGAAAAGGAATCGATACCGTGAAATGAGGGTGTTTTCGGATTTCGATAATCGTGTATGTATTTAGCTCGTTCTCTATCTCTCATTTGTCTCTCGTGTATTGATTTCTTGTTGCTGTGAGGTTGACAAGTTCTTTATCAGAAAACTGGGGAAAGTAGAAAAAGTTCGTCTGGATTAGTTCACCGTTTGAGCTTGCCCAAATCAGCAGAAGCCGAGAACCTATTGCAATTTCAGCCCGAGACGGTGCCCTGTCAAGTTCGTGCCAAAAGAGGTTGCGCCACTCATCCGAGAAGTATAGCCGAAAGGGTACAATCTCATATATTCCTGATTTGGTAATATTATAGGCCTACAATTGGACATTCAGTTTTGGTTATGCAAAATGCTCAAAATTTGTGGCCATTAGGTATCAGGAGTAAATCTACACGATCAATATCAAGCTTCGTTTTCGTGGTGCAAGTTAACTATTAACCGTATTCCATCTATTGGTTTGTAATAATCGCAGATGAGGCGGACTAGGATTAGTGAAAAGATGAAGAAGCTGCAAGATCTTTTTCCAAATATGGACAAGGTGAACGAACGCTCTCTGTCCCCTATATTCATTTGTAATCTATTCAAGCATGCACGCTCGTTTTTACGACTCTTTCGGGTACCATTTTTCATGCATCTCCTTCGTTTTCAGCAAACAAGCACAGCTGATATGTTGGACTTGGCCGTTGGGTACATTAAAGACCTCCAAAATCAAGTCCAGGTAAATATAATCCAAAAAAGTAAGAAAAAAACTGTATGGGATTAATATTAAACATCCGATCACTAGTCAAAATTAATTCATCGTGCAGACGCTGACGGACAAGAAGGCGAAGTGCATTTGTTCGAGTAAACCTCATAAGGATTAGTCCTTACTGGAATGCTTGCTTGCACCAAAAGTCGACTCTTAAATGCACATTTGGACAAGAAGTTGGAATGTAGGCTTGTTTGTTGTTTTGACAATGTTGGCAAGATCTCTAGTTAAGGGTGTAATTCGTTAATTTAGACTTTTAGTGTACGGATTAGGTCGGTTGGATTATTCTGTAGTTTTATGAATAATTTGTGAATAATAATGCTTTAGCTTGGTGTAGCTGATGGAGATTTTAGGGAGAGGGAGCTTTCGGCAAATAGTTAAAAGCGCCTTGGACCTAATGAGGAAATAAAATTTAGAAATAACTCCCCGACCTTGAAACTTGAAACTCAGGCATACAACGGAAAAATCAAGGCGTATTAACGTTGAAGAATATCTATAAATATACATGAATGTGAACTCATTCATACATCAATGTAAGAGTTCTTTTGCATTATTTATAAAGTTTAAAAAGAATATATGTTTTTTTGTAATCGTTTCTATCTTGAGAGTTCTGAAACTTGAGTAATGTTTGCTGAAGTCTGGTGTATTTGAATTATAACCATACACAAATCAAAATATGTTGTATCTCAGATAAGTTAATCGTGAATTACAGGTGATGTGGGATATCATACCCAAGGGAATAAATTGATTGAATCGGTCGAGTAATAAACTGATTGAATAGGCCGAGTAGACCGTCTGCTCGAGCAGAGCTTCATCAAGATTGGTGGTGGCCGAATGCCACTAGTGTAGGATTATGAGTCTTTTGTTTTTTTTTTTTTTTTTT